TATGGGACGGATGCAGTAAGATAACACCAGTGATGACAGTAGCACTGTGCTTGTAGCGTTACCATCCAGGCTATGTCTTCTACTTCTGTCCTCAGTCACAAACACAGGCCACAGTGTTGTATTGTACCAAATCTCAGAGACCCAGAACAAAAATATTGCGTAATTGCATCAGATGTTTAATGGGTGGAGATGTATGAGAATATATACTAACGAGACTAATAAAGTCTCCACCCCCCTTAAACTGAAACTCTCAGCCAAAGCATGGACCAAATGCCTCCAACCAAATTAGAAAGCTGAACACCTGTGAAATCATATGATTTGTCCAAATGATCAGTGACGAAAAGATCTGCGCATCAGAACAAAGTTATTTGTTAGTTAGTCTGTTGACAGACAGTATGATACCATCCTATGTCAAGTCTGAGATCATTTTCCACGTATTGCCTCTGCCCCGTGTCTCCCTGTAGCCGTTCTGAACGCTACAGCCAATCCCCCTTTTCAGTTTAAATCCCGCCCGGCAACCAAGACGATGACAAGCTTGGGTTGGACAACTAAAAACCCCTACCTCACCTCTGAGACCTGGCTAATTTATCTTAGCGTGAGTAGGACCAGTAGCAGTACCGGTACTCTGTGATTTCTAGTGACAGGCAGAACGTACATATACACATAGAGTGGAGCTGCTGCTGAGAGCAGGTCTCTTCTGGGGGCGGACCCCTGGAGTTACACTGTGGTGATACAAGCTCCTACACACACACACACACACACACACACCTACTCACCGTGCAGAGTGTCAGTGACAGATTGAATGGATAATATCCCTGAATAATTGAACTAGGAGGTTGGAGTCCACAGAGTATAATAACAGGGGTGTGTGTGTGTGTGTGTGTGTGTGTGTGTGTGTGTGTGTGTGTGTGTGTGTGTGTGTGTGTGTGTGTGTGTGTGTGTGTGTGTGTGTGTGTACTAAGACAGGCGGTTGTGTGTGTGTGAGTGTTTGTCAAATAAAATACAATTTTAGTGGTCACATACACATAATTAGCAGATGTTATTGTGGGTGTAGTGAAATACGTGTGTTCCTAGCTCCAAAAGCGCAGTAATATCTAACAATACACTACAATACACACAAATCTAAAAGTAAAATAATGGAATTAAGAAATATATATATATTAGGATGAGCAATGTCAGAGTGGCATTGAAAAAAATATAGTAGAACACAGTGTACATCGGAGTCCGGAGTATTAAAAAATATATATACAGTGAGGAGAACAAGTATTTGATACACTGCCGATTTTGCAGGTTTTCCTACTTACAAAGCATGTAGAGATCTGTAATTTTTATCATAGGTACACTTCAACTGTGAGAGACGGAATCTAAAACAAAAATCCAGAAAATCACATTGTATGATTTTTAAGTAATTCATTTGCATTTTATTGCATGACATAAGTATTTGATCACCTACCAACAAGTAAGAATTCCGTCTCTCACAGACCTGTTAGTTTTTCTTTAAGAAGCCCTCCTGTTCTCCACTCATTACCTGTATTAACTGCACCTGTTTGAACTCAATACCTGTATAAAAGACACCTGTCCACACACTCAATCAAACAGACTCCAACCTCTCCACAATGGACAAGACCAGAGAGCTGTGTAAGGACATCAGGGATAAAATTATAGACCTGCACAAGGCTGGGATGGGCTACAGGACAATAGGCAAGCAGCTTGGTGAGAAGGCAACAACTGTTGGCACAATTATTAGAAAATGGAAGAAGTTCAAGATGACGTCAATCACCTTCGGTCTGGGGCTCCATGCAAGATCTCACCTCGTGGGGCATCAATGATCATGAGGAAGGTGAGGGATCAGCCCAGAACTACACGGCAGGACCTGGTCAATGACTTGAAGAGAGCTGGGACCACAGTCTCAAAGAAAACCATTAGTAACACACTACGCCGTCATGGATTTAAATCCTGCAGCGCACGCAAGGTCCCCCTGCTCAAGCCAGCGCATGTCCAGGCCCGTCTGAAGTTTGCCAATGACCATCTGGATGATCCAGAGGAGGAATGGGAGAAGGTCATGTGGTCTGATGAGACAAAAATAGAGCTTTTTGGTCTAAACTCCACTCGCCGTGTTTGGAGGAAGAAGAAGGATGAGTACAACCCCAAGAACACCATCCCAACCGTGAAGCATGGAGGTGGAAACATCATTCTTTGGGGATGCTTTTCTGCAAAGGGGACAGGACGACTGCACCGTATTGAGGTGAGGATGGATGGGGCCATGTATCGCGAGATCTTGGCCAACAACCTCCTTCCCGCAGTAAGAGCATTGAAGATGGGTCGTGGCTGGGTCTTCCAGCATGACAACGACCCGAAACACACAGCCAGGGCAACTAAGAAGCATCTCAAGGTCCTGGAGTGGCCTAGCCAGTCTCCAGACCGAACCCAATAGAAAATCTTTGGAGGGAGCTGAAAGTCCGTATTGCCCAGCGACAGCCCCGAAACCTGAAGAATCTGGAGAAGGTCTGTATGGAGGAGTGGGCCAAAATCCCTGCTGCAGTGTGCGCAAACCTGGTCAAGACCTACAGGAAACGTATGATCTCTGTAATTGCAAACAAAGGTTTCTGTACCAAATATTAAGTTCTGCTTTTCTGATCTATCAAATACTTATGTCATGCAATAAAATGCAAATTAATTACTTAAAAATCATACAATGTGATTTTCTGGATTTTTGTTTTAGATTCCGTCTCTCACAGTTGAAGTGTACCTATGATAACAATTACAGACCTCTACGTGCTTTGTAAGTAGGAAAACTTGCCAAATCGGCAGTGTATCAAATACTTGTTCTCCCCACTGTATATATATGAACGTGTGATGGGATGTATAGACATTATAGACAGTACGTGGATAGAATATGTGGTATATCTGTAGAATACATAGGATGGAATATTATGTGTACAGCAATAGCTGAATAGGATGGCATTCTCTAGAATGCAATATATACTTATGAAATGAGTAATGCACTATATAAACATTATTAAAGTGACTAGTGTTCCATTATTAAAGTGGCCAGTGATTCCATGTCTATGTATATAGGGCAGCAGCCTCTAACGTGCAGGGTTGAGTAACCGGGTGGTAGCCGGCTAGTGATGGCTATTTAACAGTCTGATGGCCTTGAGATAGAAGCTGTTTTTCAGTCTCTCGGTCCCAGCTTTGATGCACCTGTACTGACCTCGCCTTCTGGATGGTAGCGGGGTGAACAGGCCGTTGCTCGGGTGGCTGAGGTCCTTGGTGATCTCTTTGGCCTTCCTGTGACATCTGGTGCTGTAGGTGTCCTGAAGTGTGTGTGTGTGTGTGTTTGTGTGTGTGTGTGTGTGTGTGTGTGTGTGTGTGTGTGTGTGTGTGTGTGTGTGTGTGTGTGTGTGTGTGTGTGTGTGTGTGTGTGTGTGTGTGTGTAGTATATTGACAGTCTATAACAACCAGCTTCTTCACCTGCTGGATCGTCTGATTGGCTGTGTCTGGCTCCCCAGTGGGTTGGCCTATGCCCTCCCAGGCCCACCCATGGCTCCGCCCATGGCTCCGCCCATGCTCAGTCATGTGGAATCCATAGATTAGGGCCTAATTCATTTATTTATATTGACTGATTTCCTTATATGAACTGTAACTCAGTAAAATCTTTGAAATTGTTGCATGTTGCGCTTATATTTTTGTTCAGTATATATTGGTCTCAACCAGGAAACAATCAAGCATCTCCCTCCACTTCCTTCCTACAATTATCCATGAAGAGAAGACAGAATGGTTAACTTATTCAGAAATATCCTACCTAATGCACAACAGTCAGTTCACACACACACACACACACACACACACACACACACACACACACACACACACACACACACACACACACACACACACACACACACACACACACACACACTGCATGATAAACCTACACACACACACACATACACACACATACACACACACTGCATTATATAGTCCTATTAAACTCCTGGTCCAGATTAAGCTCAACTACAGTAATAGAGGCTTCATCATCACAATGACTGCTATCAGAGTGGATCACTCAGTCCTTAGTCTCCTGCCCAGCCCTGTAAAAACCCATTACTGTCAGAACACCCATAACCCTGGCCCTGCCTAACGTATGCAGATATCACTCTGGGACGCTCTGCACCTCTCTCTCTCTCTCTCTCTCTCTCTCTCGCTCCCTGACTATCTTGCTCTCTCTAAATCGCTCTCTCTCGCTCTATCTCCCTCGCTCCCTGACTGTCTCGCCTCAACTTTTATTGTAATTGGCTTGTTTTTACAATTCGGCCGTATCAGACTGTTAGATAGTGTTAACACAGCAGCCACAGCACAGCTCTGTAGCGAAGTCCCCCCGGGGGTCACACACACACACACACACACACACACACACACACACACACACACACACACACACACACACACACACACACTCACACACACACACACACACACACACACACACAGTCTCAAATGCCTAGTGCAGTTCAGCGTAACGTAGTGGGGGACAGGGTAAACAGTCCCCAGGGTGTGGGGGACAGGGTAAACAGCTCCCATGGTGTGGGGGACAGGGTAAACAGTCCCCAGGGTGTGGGGGACAGGGTAAACAGCCCCCAGGGTGTGGGGGACAGGGTAAACAGTCCCCAGGGTGTGGGGGACAGGGTAAACAGCTCCCAGGGTGTGGGGGACAGGGTAAACAGTCCCCAGGGTGTGGGGGACAGGGTAAACAGTCCCAAGGGTGTGGGGGACAGGGTAAACAGCTCCCAAGGTGGGGGGGACAGGGTAAGCAGCTCCCAGGGTGTGGGGGGACAGGGTAAACAGCTCCCAAGGTGTGGGGGACAGGGTAAGCAGCTCCCAGGGTGTGGGGGGACAGGGTAAACAACTCCCAAGGTGGGGGGGACAGGGTAAACAGCTCCCAGGGTGTGGGGGGACAGGGTAAACAGCTCCCAAGGTGTGGGGGACAGGGTAAACAGCTCCCAGGGTGTGGGGGACAGGGTAAACAGCTCCCAGGGTGTGGAGGAAAGGGTAAACAGCCCCCAGGGTGTGGTGGACAGGGTAAACAGCCCCCAGGGTGTGGGGGACAGGGTAAACAGCTCCCAGGGTGTGGGGGACAGGGTAAACAGCCCCCGGGGTGTGGGGGACAGGGTAAACAGCTCCCAGGGTGTGGGGGACAGGGTAAACAGCTCCCAGGGTGGGGGGGACAGGGTAAACAGCTCCCAGGGTGTGGGGGACAGGGTAAACAGCTCCTAGGGTGTGGGGGACAGGGTAAACAGCCCCCAGGGTGTGGGGGACAGGGTAAACAGCTCCCAGGGTGTGGGGGACAGGGTAAACAGCTCCCAGGGTGTGGGGGACAGGGTAAACAGCTCTCAGGGTGTGGGGGACAGGGTAAACAGCTCCCAGGGTGTGTAGGACAGGGTAAACAGCCCCCAGCGTGTGGGGGACAGGGTAAACAGCCCCCAGGCTGTGGGGGACAGGGTAAACAGCCCCCAGGGTGAGTAGGACAGGGTAAACAGTCCCCAGGGTGTGGGGGACAGGGTAAACAGTCCCCAGGGTGTGGGGGACAGGGTAAACAGCTCCAAGGTGTGAGGGACAGGGTAAACAGCCCCCAGAATGTGGGGGGACAGGGTAAACAGCTCCCAAGGTGTGGGGGACAGGGGTAAACAGCCCCCAGGGTGTGGGGGACAGGGTAAACAGCTCCCAGGGTGTGGGGGACAGGGTAAACAGCCCCCAGGGTGTGGGGGACAGGGTAAACAGCCCCCAGGGTGTGGGGGACAGGGTAAACAGCTCCCAAGGTGTGGGGGACAGGGTAAACAGCTCCCAGGGTGTGGGGGACAGGGTAAACAGCTCCCAGGGTGTGTAGGACAGGGTAAACAGCTCCCAAGGTGTGGGGGACAGGGTAAACAGCTCCCAGGGTGTGTAGGACAGGGTAAACAGCTCCCAGGGTGTGGGGGACAGGGTAAACAGCCCCCAGGGTGTGGGGGACAGGGTAAACAGCTCCCAGGGTGTGGGGGACAGGGTAAACAGCTCCCAGGGTGTGGGGGACAGGGTAAACAGCTCCCAGGGTGTGTAGGACAGGGTAAACAGCTCCCAGGGTGTGTAGGACAGGGGTAAACAGCTCCCAGGGTGTGTAGGACAGGGTAAACAGCTCCCAGGGTGTGTAGGACAGGGTAAACAGCTCCCAGGGTGTGGGGGACAGGGTAAACAGCTCCCAGGGTGTGGGGGACAGGGTAAACAGCTCCCAGGGTGTGGGGGACAGGGTAAACAGCCCCCAGGGTGTGGGGGACAGGGTAAACAGCTCCCAAGGTGTGGGGGACAGGGTAAACAGCTCCCAGGGTGTGGGGGACAGGGTAAACAGCTCCCAAGGTGTGGGGGACAGGGTAAACAGCTCCCAAGGTGTGGGGGACAGGGTAAACAGCTCCCAGGGTGTGGGGGACAGGGTAAACAGCTCCCAAGGTGTGTAGGACAGGGTAAACAGCTCCCAGGGTGTGGGGGACAGGGTAAACAGCTCCCAAGGTGTGGGGGACAGGGTAAACAGCTCCCAGGGTGTGGGGGACAGGGTAAACAGCTCCCAGGGTGTGGGGGACAGGGTAAACAGCTCCCAGGTGTGGGGGACAGGGTAAACAGCTCCCAGGGTGGGGGGGACAGGGTAAACAGCTCCCAGGGTGTGGGGGACAGGGTAAACAGCTCCCAAGGTGTGTAGGACAGGGTAAACAGCTCCCAGGGTGTGGGGGACAGGGTAAACAGCTCCCAAGGTGTGGGGGACAGGGTAAACAGCTCCCAGGGTGTGGGGGACAGGGTAAACAGCTCCCAGGGTGTGGGGGACAGGGTAAACAGCTCCCAGGGTGGGGGGGACAGGGTAAACAGCTCCCAGGGTGTGGGGGACAGGGTAAACAGCTCCCAAGGTGTGTAGGACAGGGTAAACAGCTCCCAGGGTGTGGGGGACAGGGTAAACAGCTCCCAGGGTGTGGGGGACAGGGTAAACAGCTCCCAGGGTGTGGGGGACAGGGTAAGCAGCTCCCAGGGTGTGGGGGACAGGGTAAACAGCTCCCAGGGTGTGGGGGACAGGGTAAACAGCTCCCAGGGTGTGGGGGACAGGGTAAACAGCTCCCAAGTGTGGGGGACAGGGTAAACAGCTCCCAGGGTGTGGGGGACAGGGTAAACAGCTCCCAGGGTGTGGGGGACAGGGTAAACAGCTCCCAGGGTGGGGGGGACAGGGTAAACAGCTCCCAGGGTGTGGGGGACAGGGTAAACAGCTCCCAAGGTGTGTAGGACAGGGTAAACAACTCCCAAGGTGGGGGGGACAGGGTAAACAGCCCCCAGGGTGTGAGGGACAGGGTAAACAGCTCCCAAGGTGGGGGGGACAGGGTAAACAGCTCCCAGGGTGTGGGGGACAGGGTAAACAGCTCCCAGGGTGTGGGGGACAGGGTAAACAGCTCCCAAGGTGTGGGGGGACAGGGTAAACAGCTCCCAGGGTGTGGGGGACAGGGTAAACAGCTCCCAGGGTGTGGGGGAAAGGGTAAACAGCCCCCAGGGTGTGGTGGACAGGGTAAACAGCCCCCAGGGTGTGGGGAACAGGGTAAACAGCTCCCAGGGTGTGGGGGGACAGGGTAAACAGCCCCCGGGGTGTGGGGGACAGGGTAAACAGCTCCCAGGGTGTGGGGGACAGGGTAAACAGCTCCCAGGGTGTGGGGGACAGGGTAAACAGCTCCCAGGGTGTGGAAGACAGGGTAAACAGCTCCTAGGGTGTGGGGGACAGGGTAAACAGCTCCCAGGGTGTGGGGGACAGGGTAAACAGCCCCCGGGGTGTGGGGGACAGGGTAAACAGCTCCCAGGGTGTGGGGGACAGGGTAAACAGCTCCCAGGGTGTGGGGGACAGGGTAAACAGCTCCCAGGGTGTGGAAGACAGGGTAAACAGCTCCTAGGGTGTGGGGGACAGGGTAAACAGCCCCCAGGGTGTGGGGGACAGGGTAAACAGCTCCCAGGGTGTGGGGGACAGGGTAAACAGCTCCCAGGGTGTGGGGGACAGGGTAAACAGCTCTCAGGGTGTGGGGGACAGGGTAAACAGCTCCCAGGGTGTGTAGGACAGGGTAAACAGCCCCCAGCGTGTGGGGGACAGGGTAAACAGCCCCCAGGGTGTGGGGGGACAGGGTAAACAGCCCCCAGGGTGAGTAGGACAGGGTAAACAGTCCCTAGGGTGTGGGGGACAGGGTAAACAGTCCCCAGGGTGTGGGGGACAGGGTAAACAGCTCCCAAGGTGTGGGGGACAGGGTAAACAGCCCCCAGGGTGTGGGGGACAGGGTAAACAGCTCCCAGGGTGTGGGGGACAGGGTAAACAGCCCCCAGGGTGTGGGGGACAGGGTAAACAGCCCCCAGGGTGTGGGGGACAGGGTAAACAGCTCCCAAGGTGTGGGGGACAGGGTAAACAGCTCCCAGGGTGTGGGGGACAGGGTAAACAGCTCCCAGGGTGTGTAGGACAGGGTAAACAGCTCCCAAGTGTGGGGGACAGGGTAAACAGCTCCCAGGGTGTGTAGGACAGGGTAAACAGCTCCCAGGGTGTGGGGGACAGGGTAAACAGCTCCCAGGGTGTGGGGGACAGGGTAAACAGCTCCCAGGGTGTGGGGGACAGGGTAAACAGCTCCCAGGGTGTGGGGGACAGGGTAAACAGCTCCCAGGGTGTGTAGGACAGGGTAAACAGTCCCCAGGGTGTGGGGGACAGGGTAAACAGCCCCCAGGGTGTGGGGGACAGGGTAAACAGCTCCCAGGGTGTGGGGGACAGGGTAAACAGCTCCCAGGGTGTGGGGGACAGGGTAAACAGCTCCCAGGGTGTGTAGGACAGGGTAAACAGTCCCCAGGGTGTGGGGGACAGGGTAAACAGCTCCCAGGGTGTGTAGGACAGGGTAAACAGCTCCCAGGGTGTGTAGGACAGGGTAAACAGCTCCCAGGGTGTGTAGGACAGGGTAAACAGCTCCCAGGGTGTGGGGGACAGGGTAAACAGCTCCCAGGGTGTGGGGGACAGGGTAAACAGCTCCCAGGGTGTGGGGGACAGGGTAAACAGCCCCCAGGGTGTGGGGGACAGGGTAAACAGCTCCCAAGGTGTGGGGGACAGGGTAAACAGCTCCCAGGGTGTGGGGGACAGGGTAAACAGCTCCCAAGGTGTGGGGGACAGGGTAAACAGCTCCCAAGGTGTGGGGGACAGGGTAAACAGCTCCCAGGGTGTGGGGGACAGGGTAAACAGCTCCCAAGGTGTGTAGGACAGGGTAAACAGCTCCCAGGGTGTGGGGGACAGGGTAAACAGCTCCCAAGGTGTGGGGGACAGGGTAAACAGCTCCCAGGGTGTGGGGGACAGGGTAAACAGCTCCCAGGGTGTGGGGGACAGGGTAAACAGCTCCCAGGGTGTGGGGGACAGGGTAAACAGCTCCCAGGGTGGGGGGGACAGGGTAAACAGCTCCCAGGATGTGGGGGACAGGGTAAGCAGCTCCCAAGGTGTGTAGGACAGGGTAAACAGCTCCCAGGGTGTGGGGGACAGGGTAAACAGCTCCCAAGGTGTGGGGGACAGGGTAAACAGCTCCCAGGGTGTGGGGGACAGGGTAAACAGCTCCCAGGGTGTGGGGGACAGGGTAAACAGCTCCCAGGGTGTGGGGGACAGGGTAAACTGCTCCCAGGGTGTGGGGGACAGGGTAAACTGCTCCCAGGGTGTGGGGGACAGGGTAAACAGCCCCCAGGGTGTGGGGGACAGGGTAAACAGCCCCCAGGGTGTGGGGGACAGGGTAAACAGCCCCCAGGGTGTGGGGGACAGGGTAAACAGCTCCCAGGGTGTGTAGGACAGGGTAAACAGCCCCCAGGGTGTGGGGGACAGGGTAAACAGCCCCCAGGGTGTGGGGGACAGGGTAAACAGTCCCCAGGGTGTGGGGGACAGGGTAAACAGCCCCCAGGGTGTTCTAGAGATCCAGTCAATTTGTGAGAGAGACTCCATGGCCACCAGAGCTCCAACCTGCGTCAGTTTTGATTCCTGCCATCTCCACCTGATCCCTTCCCCCGTTTCCCCAGCGCCATGCTATGCCTGGAGCGAAAAGGCCTGCAACAACATATAGCCCCAACAAATGATTGATGTCTTCGTAATGCTCTCAAATAAGATGTATCGGAACGAGGGATGAGGGCGAGAGTAGTGGAGGGCGGGTGGGTGGGGGGAAAAGGGAGAAGTGGGGGGAGGAAAGAGGAGATGGGGCGAGGGGGCAGAGGGCTGTGGAGAAGGAGAGGGTGAGAATGATTATGTAGGCCACCCTGTCAGGCCACACTGTCAGGTAAACTTTCTGCTTGTAGCTAACTGGACATGTCAGGCTGACTAAGTGTTGGAAGCTGTCAAGCAGGAACAATGGGGTTAACTATGGCCTAGATGTCCTACGCTGCACGCGTCAGGGAGAGAGGAGAGAGAGAGAGAAGAGAGCGAGGGCGAGAGAGAAAGAGACGGAGAGAGATTGGAAGAGAGAGAGCTGCCATTTCTTTCTCTGTGACACATCATACTAATTATCATCTGAGGGAGGGAGAGGAAGTTGAGTGCATGGCAGAGAGATGGAGAGCATGTGTTTTTCACAAGAATACTGAAGAAAAATGAATAAGCACCTTTTTTTTAAAGCACTTTTGTAAAATGTGTCCACCGCCACACGTTAATTTCCCTCCTCAAAATACACCAGATATTTATTATTCTTGGGTGGGTTTCCTTCTCTCTGTTCTGTGTATCCTGTGGGGTTGGGTGTGTTTCCTGGGGGGTTGGGGCAATAGCCCCTGAGTGTTCTAATAAGTCATGTAAACGTATGGGACAAATACAGCCCATCCACAGCTCAAACAACGCCCATCCACAGCTCAAACAACGACCATCCACAGCTCAAACAACGCCCATCCACAGCTCCAACAACGCCCATCCACAGCTCCAACAACGCCCATCCACAGCTCCAACAACGCCCATCCACAGCTCAAACAATGGCCATCCACAGCTCCAACAACGCCCGTCCACTGCTCAAACAACGCCCATCCACTGCTCAAACAACGCCCATCCACAGCTCCAACAACGCCCATCCACTGCTCAAACAACGCCCATCCACAGCTCAAACAACGCCCATCCACAGCTCCAACAACGCCCATCCACAGCTCAAACAACGACCATCCACAGCTCCAACAACGCCCATCCACAGCTCCAACAACGCCCATCCACAGCTCAAACAACGACCATCCACAGCTCAAACAACGACCATCCACAGCTCAAACAACGCCCGTCCACAGCTCAAACAACGCCCATCCACAGCTCGGAGCTCGTCTACATAGACTGGGCATCTGCCGCCCTTAATCAATCCCCCTCCTGAATACAAATCAGAATAATGAGTCAATTAATGTACTGAAACTGCAGCGGGAGATGGGAGGAGAGATGGAGCGGGAGAGAGAGAGAGAGGAATGAAAGACCCGTATGTTCTGTTTCTGCTTCTATTGTAATGTTATGGTGAGCTGTTGTTTTGTCTCTGTTGCTATTGTAATGTTATGGTGAGCTGTTGTTTTGTCTCTGTTGCTATTGTAATGTTATGGTGAGCTGTTGTTTTGTCTCTGTTGCTAATGTAATGTTATGGTGAGCTGTTGTTTTGTCTCTGTTGCTAATGTAATGTTATGGTGAGCTGTTGTTTTGTCTCTGTTGCTAATGTAATGTTATGGTGAGCTGTTGTTTTGTCTCTGTTGCTAATGTAATGTTATGGTGAGCTGTTGTTTTGTCTCTGTTGCTATTGTAATGTTATGGTGAGCTGTTGTTTTGTCTCTGTTGCTATTGTAATGTTATGGTGAGCTGTTGTTTTGTCTCTGTTGCTATTGTAATGTTATGGTGAGCTGTTGTTTTGTGATAGGAACGATGTCTGGATGTCTTTAAAAAGCAGAAGCATCGCTGCCAGCCAAGCATGACTGACCGGCCTGCCTGACACCGGCCCTGCTCATTATGTGTGCTTTAAGTGAGAAACCTGGAGTTTAATTGCAAAGGTCACATTGGGTGTGAATCACCCGAGAGAGAGAGAGCGCGAGACCCAAAGTGGCCTGGCTTAGACTGAATATACAGCATCTCTGATAAATCAGCAAGACTCCCACCTACTCTCTATCAGCGATGATGTGAAATAGTAATATATGTCATTTAGTCATTTTACTTTTATCCAAAGAGACTCACAGTCATGCGTGCACACATGTTATGTCCCGGGAATCGAACCCACTACCCTGGCATTGCAAACACCATGCTCTACCAACTGAGCTACAAATAACCACAACTAACATTGAATGATCAGACCTGTCTCTGGGTCTCCAGGTTCCAGGTCTGGCCAGAACAGCCTATTTCTTCCAGGTTAACCATGTTGACCCTCTCATCTCTTCTCTCTGCTTATTCAGAGGGACTGATCTATTCCAGTACTGAACATCCAGGCTCTGTCGCAGCCGGCCGCGACCGGGAGACTAATGGGCGGCGCACAATTGGCCCAGCGTCGTCCAGTAACTGTAAGTCGCTCTGGATAAGAGCGTCTGCTAAATGACTAAAATGTAAAATGTAAATGTCAACAGGATTTCTATAGACTGGAGCCTGAGTCAATGTAGGTTGGCTTTGGATTACAATTATGTCAACAATTCATGCCTTCTTTATATATAGTACCAGTCCAAAGTTTGGACACACCTACTCATTCAAGGGTTTTCTTTTTCTTTTTCCTATTTTCTTTATTGTAGAATAATAGTGAATAAATCAAAACTATGAAATAACACATATGGAATCATGTAGTAACCAAAAAAGTTTCTTCAAATAGCCACCCTTTGCATTGATGACAGCTTTGCACACTCTTGGCGTTCTCTCAACCAGCTTCATGAGGAGTTCCCGCATATGCTGAGCACTTGTTGGCTGCTTTTCCTTCACTCTGCGGTCCAACTCATCCCAAACCATCTCAATTGGGTTGAGGTCGGGTGATTGTGGAGGCCAGGTCATCTGATGCAGCACTCCATCACTCTCCTTGGTCAAATAGCCCTTGCACAGCCTGGAGGTGTGTTTTGGGTCATTGTCCTGTTGAAAAACAAAATGATAGTCCCACTAAGCGCAAACCAGATGGGATGGCGTATAGCTGCAGAATGCTGTGGTAGCCATGCTGGTTAAGTGTGCCTTGAATTCTAAATAAATCACTGACAGTGTCACCAGCAAAGCACCCCCACATTCATCACACCTCCTCCTCCATGCTTCCCGGTGGGAACCACACACGCGGAGATCATCCGTTCATCTACTCTGCATCTCACAAAGACACGGCAGTTTGAACAAAAAAATCTCCAATTTGGACTCATCAGACCAAAGGACAGATTTCCACCGGTCTAATGTCCATTGCTCGTGTTTCTTGGCCCAAGCAAGTCTGTTCTTCTTATTGGTGTCCTTTAGTAGTGGTTTATTTGCAGCAATTCGCCATGAAGGCCTGATTCACTCAGTCTCCTCTGAACAGTTGATGTTGAGATGTGTCTGTTACTTGAACACTGTGAAGTATGTATTTGGGCTGCAATATGAGGTGTAGTTAACTCTAATGAACTTATCCTCTGCAGCAGAGGTAACTCTCGTTCTTTGTTTCCTGTGCCGGTCCTCATGAGAGCCAGTTTCATCATAGCGCTTGATGGTTTTTGCGACTGCACTTGAAGAAACTTTCAAAGTTCTTGAAATGTTCTGTATTGACTGACCTTCATGTCTTAATGTAATGATGGACTGTCGTTTCTGTTTGCTTATTTGAGCTTTTCTTGCCATAATATTGACTTCGTATTTTACCAAATAGGGCTATCTTCGATATACCACCCATCCCTTGTCACAACACAACTGATTGGCTCAAACGCATTAAAAAAATATATGGGGCATTGGAAATGATGCAGACAATTACTTTGATGGAAGTTACAATCTATCTGCAATATTAATGCTGACAAATACAAACAAATACAAACACAGTAGAATAAAAATAAAAATAAATAAAAATACAACAATTCATGCCCCCTTTTGCCAAACTCCACGTGCAAGTCACCCCTCCGCCCACTTCGCTTCCCTTCATTGAATGGGGCTCCATTTATTCATCGCCCCCAACGTATTCAAAGGATCATGGCCGTTTGAGACTGAAAAGCCCCATGCCTCTGGGTCCGGTTTGACAATGCATGCTTCCGGCAGGATGCATAGCCAACTATGGTTTGCATGCCCTGCAGAAAGAACCCTACAAGGCGGAATTTGTGGTTGGAATTCGTTGGTCCCCAAGTCCGCACCAGTAACTCTAGCTTGGTGGTGGATATAACCAGAGCTAGTTGAATATAATGACCTCTCTGGTATAGCTTAGCTAAAGACGTTAGATAACGTTATTGCTGGTTATGTAGGTAGCTATCTTTTGATATAGCGAGGCAGGCTAGCTAGCGTTTTACCTAATGTTCACAGTTAGCTACCTCACTACAACTTATGTCATAGCTCATACAACTTTATTGTGTATTGTCTAGATACTGCTGGTTATGTAACATTATCGTTTGATAATGCTAGCGAGACAGGCTAGCTAGCTACAGGCTAGCTAACATTAGTTATGAGAATTGCCTGCTGCAGTTGTTCTAGAGATGTCCAGTTTGCAGCCGAACATACAACATAAAGAAGACCAGTAAGGGGACCCTCAGCATCACTCAGACATGCCCTCGCTGTAAGCATTCCTATAAATAGAACAGAGAGGACACTTGAATCAGGTTGGTGACATTTGACCTGGTCAAAGGTCAAAACAGTTTCGAGTTCTGTCCCAATTCACCTTCATAACCTAGCCTGTTGGAACCGTCCTGATTATTTACATATCATGATATCTGAAGTGAAACAGAAAGGTAAACGGAATGATCAGCTAATCATGCTAATCTTAACCACCATTGATGATGTTATCACTGCTCTGCGTGTGTGTTTGTGTGTGACCGATCAGTATCTTTGATGAG